ATAAAAAAAAAAAAAAAAAAAAAAAAAAAAAAATTTTAATTTTAATTTCTTATAACGTTAAAGGTTTTATTTTATTATTACTACATTTAAAATTATATTTAAATTATAACTGAAACTTTTTTTTTTACATTAAATATATACATATGTATAAATTTAAAAATATATGGTTAATATTGTTTTAGTAAATGTACTATTTTATGTGTAAACATAGATATTCAAACTTTTAATGTAACTTAAGACTTTTCAACCAAAAATTAAAAAAAAACAAAATAAGATAAAGAAATGAAAAAATAAGAAAAAAAAAAAAAAAAAAAAAAAAAAAAAAAAAAATATATAAAAGTGTAGTTGGTAATATTAGTAGTAATAATAATGAAATATTATTATGAATTGCAAGTAAAAATAAACGCTATAAATCGTAGAAATAAGGAAATACAATAAAAAATATTTGTAGCATAAAATTAAATTTATTTATAATATCATATTTGATTTTTGTTTTCTTTTTTCTTTATTATTTTTTTTTTTCCTTTTCCTTTTCCTTTTACTTTCCTTTCCTTTTTTTTTTTTTATTTTGTTTCTCTCCTTTAAAAAATGAGTGATAATGAAAGTTTTATATCGATTGAAAATAATAACGATGAAGTAAAAAATAATGAAAATAAAACTAATTTAAATTTAGATAATTTTTTAGATTACAATATAGATTATATGAATGATGTAGAAAAGTACAACTATATAGGTGTAGATATTTTACAAAGGCCAGATTATTTTGAAATAAAAAAAGATAAAATAGAATTTTTCGTTAATGATCAGATGAGTGACATAAATAATGCCTTACATAGCAGAAAAAAGGAAGAAATTGATATATTTTTAAAAATTAAAAAAGAATTATATAATATTGCTTACAAAAATCACCATAATCAATTAAACATTAATAATAATGATAATAATAACTTAGTTGATGAAAAAAATAAAATGATAAATGAAAATTCTAAAATAATAAATGAAAGTGTTAAATTAGAAAAAAGTAATAATAAAAATGAAGACAAAAACAAAAAGTCATACGATATATTAAATAATGACTTAAGTATGACATTAGGAAATAAAATAGAAGACACATATAATGAAATAAAAAGTAGCGTGAATTGGTTAGGAAATTTTTTTTCAAATAATGAAAATTATGAAAAAAAAAAAAATTTAAATATATTTTATAAAGATTTATATTTTTTTAATGATACAACGATTATACGTTTCTTAGATACATATAATTATAACATGCTAAAAACTTTAAATAAAATAATTAAGTGTATTTTATGGAGACAAATGAGTATTATTCATTATAATAATAAACAAGATACTTTAAATAATTCAAATAATACAACTAATAATAACAATATTTTTGTAAATCCGAAAAACTTAAGAAATAGTTTAATGAAAATGAATATTTTTAGATGTGGTTATGATTTAAAATCAAGACCACTATTATATATAAAGATACAAGAAAAGTTGGATATAAAAGAAGAAGAACTAATATTAATGTTAGTATATCATGTTGATATGTGTATGAATAGTGTTGATTATAAAAAATGTTATCAGAAAAACAATAACTTAGATAATTCAGAAAAAATAAAATTTGATGAATCCTCTTTACAATTGGTTATAGTTGTAGATTGTTTAAAATTTGACTTAAATAATATGATTAGTGTTGATTGTATCAAGAAAATTATTAATATATTTAATGAATTTTACACTGATGTTTTATATAGAATATATATTATAAATGTTCCTTCTTTTTTTAAAAAAGTATGGTCATTATTTAATATGTTTATAGATAATCATACATTAAAAAAAATAATTATTATAAATAAAAAAAACATTAATCTCATGTATGAACATATTATTTCAAATTTTATGATGCATTTTGATAGAACTTCTGAAAAAAAAGATGAAAGTTCTATATTTTTCCCCTCTAATACATTATATTATAAATATGATGAAAAATATTATGAAAAATTAGTTGGTTATGTTAATATCTGGGTGGATAAAATGATAAAAGTTAATCATTAATTTTTTAAAATAAGAAATTTTAATAGGTAAGAATAGACAATAAAGTACATTTTTTTTTTTTTTTTTTTTTTTTTTTTTTTTTTTTTTTTTTAATTTTTTTTTTTTTTTATTTTTTTTTT